TATATATATATATATATATATATATATATATATATATATATATATAATTTGTAATATATACATAATATTAAATGTATATATTGAAAATTTTATTCGCTCATTTTGAAGGACAAGAGCAACAATAAAACAATGTTATGTTTCCAAGTAACTACATATGCCTTTCTTTTATCACAGTCACTTAGCAAATATCTCAAGTTATCTTAACCATCACATTATGTGAATTTAGAAGGCATATGACACAGTGCGGTTTGATAAGGTTGGAATGATGCAGTGGGACAGAAATGTCCTCTCGCTCTATAAAATGCCTAACACTGATGATATTGTTGCCACACCTCAGTATCCGTGGAGACCTGCTAATGTAAACACACGCTTCAGGGTCTCTATAGAGAGTCAGATAGGAGTAGCGTGCGCTCCTATTGACTCATGTTAGGGTGGGAAAGGTCTTCCATTTTGCTCCGTGTGTTCATTTACTAGTGAGATATGATTCCTGAACTTTCCAGCACTCCCTGTTCAATACGAACAGAAGCATTCCTTTTACGTCACAAAGCCAAAGTTGCTATGCAAATATTGAAGATGAGGAAACGTTATTGATATTTGCTCCAGTCACGTATCAGTAACACGCTATTGATACATGATTGAACATATGTGACTGTACTGTGAGTTATTGGTTGAGTAAACACAGTTGGATATTTTTGATTTACAATAGAAAGGTTTAACCCATAGCTCTGAATGCACAAATGTATGGAAACTCTCAGCTACCTGGGTGCAAGTTCATGGACATCAAAAGGCAGCAAAGACATTTGCATGTTTGGCTATAGAGGAAACAAGCAGGTGCAAATAGGGCTGGGTATCGTTACAAATTTTTCGATATCGATACCGATACCTTGACTTCGATACCAGTTCCTGAACACTACTTTACTTGAGCCATTGATATGCAAGCTAACGTAGTTATTAATGCAGTCTAATGCGGTTATTAGAGAGAGAGAGAGTGCGTGTGAATACCTGCGTCATCTCTCAGCAGCAGCGTCTACTAATAGAGAATCTTTAAAGGGGTCATATGATGCGATTTCAATTTTTCCTTTCTCTTTGGAGTGCAGCTGCAAAACTATTTTACTGATAAATTTGCGGTGCAGCGCTAACAAGAAGTTTCTGTTCACGTCTCCACGTGAGTTTGTGTGTGTGTGTCTGCACTGTGTGTGCGTCTGTGAGAGAAACTGGGAGAAAGAAAACGTGATTTCCGTAGCCTACATAAAAAAGGTGGAAGACATAGAGATAGTTTGACATTTTTTACCCTATTGTTTGTTATATTTATTTGCTCAATGTCTTCTGGGGTTTTGGTTCTCTTACTGTTGTAGATAGCCCAAAGTAGGCTATAACAAAAATATTATATATCTCTTCATTGTGTTTGGGCCCCCCCTGTGTTGTTATTGTGAACTAAAATTAAAACTATGAAAAATCATCAAAATAAAGCTGAAATAAATAAAGGTTAAGTAAAATATAAATATTAGATGAAAGCTTTGAAAAACTTACATGACAATAGGAAATGTTATACAATTCAGTTATAGAAATTATACAGACACCTTAATGTTTTTTTGTTTTTTTTTGAAGCTTGAAAGTTTTGGACCACATTGAGTTTAATAATACAGACAGAAACTTCTGAGTTCCAACCTGATTTCATAGAAGATGTAACTATTTAACGAGGTGTCAATTTCATATGACGCAAATCATACGATTTTTTAGAAACTATGAAGGTCCACCCCTAAACATAACCATTACTGGAATCATGTAAGTAAATCTTTTTTTGAATTCCAAACCGAATACATTTCTAAACTGAAGTAAATCAAAGCTATTTACACTCTTACAAATAAAGGTGCTTCACGATGCCATAGAATAACCTTTTTGTCTAAATGGTTCCATAAAGAACCTTTAACATCTGAAGAACCTTCCGTTTCACAAAAGGTTCTTTGTGGCGAAAGAAGGTTCTTCAGATTATAAAAAGGTAAGAAAGAGATGGTTCTTTAAAGAACCTTTGACTGAATGGTTCTTTGTGGAACCAAAAATGGTTCTTCTATGGCATCGCTTGAAGAACCTTTTGAAGCACCTTTATTTTTAAGAGGGGACAGACAGATAGTGAGAAGACAGCGAGAGGGAGTAAGACAGGACGGATGAACAGCGTGTTCAGTGTGGTATGATCAGATATTAGACTGGGTGGATTCAAACATCAGCATATCAAATTCAGGGGTGTAAGCAGAAGTTATCGTGCAATTCAGCCCTGTTTCCAGCATGTTCTGCAGCGTTGTCCTCTCTCAAAGTCACACGCTCCCTCTCCTCTCAGTGTATGTTAACATACACAGACATATTGGGTTTCTGGATTATATAATTGGCACGATTAGTTTAATTCAGAATCACTGCATGGAGTGTTTGAAACGGCACAACTTAAAGGTGCAAAGCTACATACACAATGTCTAAGATGTTTCAGATCCATAAATAATAGTAATTAGAGTTAGGAATTCAGAATTCATTCTTTAAAATACTTGATCAGAATGATTTTCATGATATTTGGGTCCATTAACAGTGCTGGAACATCTGCACCCAGCAAAAGAGCCACCTTTGGCCTACAATATTTACGTGACATGTGAAAACAGACACTTTTACCTTTAAAGACCTAATTTCACACATTGATTTGTCATGAAATATGTCATAACATATCCCATGATGCAACAAGTATCCCTTACACTTTCAGTGTTTCCACAAGAGGTGCTATAGTGGGTGTCAGCGTAAACTGTCTGCTACAGATCAACTACAGTACTTGCACAGGGAAGAAATAGTTATTTAGAACTATCTATCTGAATACTTATACTGAACATAAAAACTGCACAGACATACAAAGATAATTTCAGGATTGCATCTGTCAAATGCAAAGTGCGATTAGAATTATGACGGAACTAGAATCATTGTGTAAAGAATGATCACAGATAACCTACCGTTCAAAGGTTTGGGGTCAGTAAGATTTTTTTTTTTTAAAGAAATTAATTTATACTTTTATTCAGAAAGTAAGCATTAAATTAATCAAAAGTGACAGTAATGACTTTCACAATATTACAAAATTACAAAAAAGTACCACTGTTTCCACAAAAATATAATGCGGCACAACTGTTTTCAACATTTATAATAATAATAAATGTTTGTTGAGCACCAAATCAGCATATTAGAATGATTTCTGAAGGATCATGTGGCAACGAAGACAATAACATTATTAAAAACTGGACAAAAATATAAAGTTTTATCTGATTAAAAAAAAAAATTTAATAGATTAATAAATGTACAGTAAAAATATCATTAATGGTTTGGCACTTTTTTTTTTATACATTTATATAAAAAAAAAACTTATATTATCTGGTTCCAATCAGCCTAATGCTCATAAAAACACACTAATATTTCCTGATAACGATATGGATACAGATATATTATGGATCCCCAATAAAAACTAGTTTGTAAAGTTAGATAACTTCAAAGCAAAGATAATAAAGTTAAGAAGAATACAAAGGAAAAATTCAAAAGCTTGCATTTACCTGCCTTGGGCTCATCCATAGAGAAGGCCTTATTTTCCATATGTACGCTCTGTGCACTTTGCTCCTTCAAAATGTTCTCGTACCCTCTGCTTGGGTACAGATTTTCCTCAACAGCTGCATCTTCATCTTCCTCACTCAGGCTACACACCGCTGGCACCGTGTGGAGCAGCAGAAACACCCATGCGTTTGAAACCAATGCTATAGCCAATGTGGGATCGTCCCATGTCGGCCCACCGTTCTTTGCGTTCCCATACACATACATGACAATCCACGCCACCCAGATGCCCACCGAAAACAGTCCTGTGACCAGGATGAGGGCTCCATCTTTGCGCCAACGCTTGTGCTTGCCTGCCAATATGGGTAAGGATGCCACCACAACCGCCAATAGTAGATTTAGAACGTAAATGTGCACCATGACAAAATCCTGGTTTTCGATATTACAGGGAACAGCAGTAGCAGAAGCCAGAATTCCGGTGACATTAGTTGGGTATCGCACAATAGTAATGATTAGCCATTCGGTGTTGATGACAACTTCTACCAGCCAGAGCCCCAGAGCCCCCAAGCACCAAACCCAACCTCTGGGTGCCGAATTCCTCCTGGCCAGTATGTTCAACCTCACGGCTTGCATGAGAAGGCAAGAGAAGCAGCCAGCGAACAGCACACCAAACAGAAAGCGGCGTGACGCACATGTGGCGAAGTTCTTCCCAACAATGAAGGCGAATGTGAGGGCGAACAGTCCAAATGTGAAGATGACGAACCCTGTGTGAAGCCCTAACGAACTGCGCCACTTCCTGTCAGTGACGAAGGGAAGGCTGGCTAGCAGCACGATCAGAAGAATCAGGGTGGCCACCAAACCAGTTGCTGCAAATGACTCAACTACAACACCCCAGACTGCAGTCAGGTCACAGAGGTTGAAATACAAGGAGTCCACATCATCTCCACAGCCCCTGGGGATTGAAGTCTGGCCCAGTGATCCAGGAAAGACGCATAGAGTGATGAAGAGCAGAAGATGAAAATGTTGGGATTTGGAAGTGAGGTTATCCATGGTTTCCAGCACCTAAGAGAGAAAAGCAATAATGAGCATACAATTAAGAGTCACAAGATACTGAGTGATATTGGCTATAAATCCTCCCCTTACACACCCAGTGAGGGAGTGACAATGTCAAGATCGTAACAATATCAAAGCCATTAAAATTTCACTCACAGGTTCATGCTCCACAAGGGAGGCCCACCCTGGCCATTAGGTTGGCTCTCTAAAGGTGTGAACTCTCTAGACTTTGAGCATGCAAAATTACTTCGGACATTGCAATGATTATGGGCAACAGGATTACATAATTTAAATTAAATTAAATATCTTAATGTAAAATATCTTAATGTTTTCTAAATTATTGTGAATATGTGTGTTGTGATATGAACAAACAGGCAGTCAACAGACTGATTTAAAACTCACAAACCTAATGTGCACATCATTCTACAGGTTCCTGGTTCATTTTGAATCAGACATGTCCAAAAAATGAATCGTTTAGTGAGGAATTCAGTTATGATCTCATTCATGATTCACTGCCTGAATGGGTCTGATTCATCTAGTGTGACCGCACATGAAGAGCAAAAATTAATAATTAAGAGCAGGATCATTAAGTGTAGCATTTCTACACTTGGAGCTTATGCAGATTTGTCTGTTAATAATTAATTCGACTTTTAAAAAAATATTGATTTTCTTAGTTCCACTTTCAAAACCTTGAAGAGAGTGAATCAGGTAGTGAAAAATATACAAAATCTGACACTTTCCCTCAGGAAAAGCTACAGTAACTACAGTTTGTGCTTAACTGAAGCCAGGTGTTTTCATATCAGATGGATAAATACTACTTATATTAGTACATAAACTTAATTTGTTTGACTCTTGCACTGGAAGAACTCTCTCTGAAAATCACAACATTAACACAGACATACAAGCTAAAAAGGTGGCTGAACTGATGAACACCATGTAGGGCCTTAAAAATAAACATAACATGAACTCAAGGTCTGTGAGTTGTTCACCTGCTGGATGGTTGAAACAAGGAGTTCTCTAATGTTATAGCCAAGCTCCAGCAGAGGATGACAGTTTTTCAGCATTACGTTTCTTATATTCTACCATAAATGTTAACAATATATCAGTTCATGAAACATTCAACAAGCATTCTATTATTTTAAGTTCTAAACTAGAATAAGGAGAAATAAAAAAAAAAGTCAAATGGCTTGTGGGGTTTTTCACATTCTTGGGAAATAGTTCCAGTGAAGAGTATTTATAATGCGTTCCTTGTAGCTCTTCCTACTGTTGTACTTAATTTACATACTATGCTTTTTCCTTCTTTGAAAATAAATTAAAATAGCTTTAACATACAGTAGCCTACCTATATTTAGAATATTCAACACACATCCACTCAAATATATAGTGCTAACAGAAATATAAAATGTAGTGATTAAATGACATTTTCAGTAATATCATGAGACGTTTTAGCAAGGTTTAAACGCATTTTTCGTTATTTTCGGCATTTTATCCATGCAATTAAACGAACTCATTTTGACATACAGCCGTTTGAGCCAATCACATCATTCAGTCCGTTACACCGCACCAATCAGAGCGCAGCACAGGCAGGCATTCGTGTCTGTGACTGACTGGGCGTCTCACCTGAGCAGGTGAACAAAGATTCTCTTCATTGCTTAAATATAACGGGATAATTTGACAGATGAAGCTGAATTTGAGTTGATTAATATCCCTAATAGCATTAATAAAACAGCAGTAAATCATGTGCAACAACACCCAAAGCAAAACGTTACTGGGTGGTGTCTATATAATCGTGTTATTTCCACCAACACATTTATAAACAAACCAAAGCACATGCACATTTATAAAAAAAAAAACCCCAAAGCACATGCAATTATTATAAAAAAGCTACAACTAACACAATAAATTAAAGTACAAAACACAAACATATTGTAAAAGTGCAAAGCTGTTTACGAAATCACGGAGATGCACAAGAAAATAACAAAACTAGCTCACCTTTTACAGTCAGACGTAGATACTGTGTCGTTTCTCAGTCACTCTTTGGTATATGAGCACAATTTACATATTCCAGCAAGCCATCGCGCCGCCAGAATGTGCCAGAGAGCTGAGGTGAGGTATTAAACCCTGACGAAAAAAAAAAACAATGTTCCCTTTGTATTCCAGGCAAACAAACCTTCAAAACGCTTCAAGGATAGTCGAGGGCAAACACTTGACGAGTTTTGATAGCTTTCAGCCGCCAGTGATGTGACTCAAACTCGCGCGCGCGCACACACGCATGCCATGCACGTCCCTCTCGAGCTCGCCTGCTCTCGCTCACTGTCGAGAGCGCGCCTGCTTTCACTACCTGGAAAAAACAAACAAACTGAGAGGGGGAAGTATCATAGTGGCACCTTAGTGAGCTACTTATGGTGGAGTTAATATTTTGTCAGCTTCATCTGTCTATCCACACAGCACATTACAAGAGCCATTACTAACTTTACTATAAACTCTGGTAATTTGAGGCCTCAGTGCTTGCTGTGTAGCTTTGCTCTACTACCCCAGCACCAGCCTACACAGGTAAAGCTGACAATGGCTTTGTTTCTCTTTTTTGTGCTTTATTCAGGGTCTGAACAGAGATGAAAAGACAATCTGAACTTTAAAAAGAATCGAGGCAAAACGAAGACACAAATGGAATCTTCCCTTGCTTATGCTGCCCATTTAAAATATGCCAAAACTCGTATTATATGCTCAAAACACATTACTTGTTTGTCTCTGCAGTGTTACAAACCTATATTGATATTACAAATCTATATTTATGTTATCTACGTTTCACATTTACAAGCAGAAAAGTAACGGGTTCAAAACTTAATCATGTGGGAATTTTATATTTCTAAAAGTGTGTGTACATTGCCACCTAGTGGAAAATCATTATATAATCATTACCTATTCATCTCGTGGAACTTGCTCGACTGCTCACGAGTGAGCACTACTACTCAAATTTTCTACAGATTAATCTAGTGTGTTTGATATTTTTCCACATATACTGTGCAACATTTTTTTCTTCTGCAATTCCCGTATTGTTTATTCCAGCAGTAGTGACAAGACAGCATGGGAGCAACCTGTGGTCAGATGTCTTGCTCAAGGTTACATCTTGATCCCCTTTTTCTTTATACAGCCTTATATTTATTTATCTGATTGCAGCTCAATACAGCTGATTATGCTGTTTTATATATACATTGTTTTATATATACATATTAATCTACATCTGGTTTTATTGTGTAGTATACTATATAGAGGACTTTGTCCATTTCTGTTACAGTTATGATATACTGGAGACGGAGAACTAGCAGACTCTCTGTTTGTTTTCCTGTCTGGTGTGCTGTTGGAGTGTGAGGTGTGATGTGTTCTGCTCACGTTACAGGATACTGTATTGCACAGTGTGTTTTCTTTCCTTTTTTGACAGCAAGAAGGAAAGAACGGAAAAAAAAGTCAAAGAAACCTCAGCACGTATCACAACTGATCTTATAGGCTTGAATTTTGAATGCTTCCATCACTGAAATGCAACCGCTTTAAGTTTGAGTGCTTTTATTAAATTTTTTAAGGACTCCAGACAAATAGATCCTCATAGACATATAATTTCCTATCAGTATGATCGAAATGTAAAAACAATTAATCTGTTATTATCAGTGCACATATTTGATAATACAACCGAAGGAAAGCTTGTGTGCTACAATGTAAACCATGAACAATAACACAACTTCTTTAAGGGGCAGTATATCATGCTAGTGCCATACGCCATTTTGTGAGGATATCTGTAAAGTTCAGCAGTTATCCTCTTACGCCACATCACACAGAAACATGTTTAGTGACACAAGATTAAGTCATATTTCACAAAAGAAATGGCAAAATATATCACGTTACATCATTGATGAACAGTCTGGCAGTTCTCATCTGCGAGACATCACCAAAAAAACTTTTAATTTCATTAAATTATCTGCTGTAGATCATTTAAAACCATCAACATGGAATCACAATCAACCCCATTTATTTTTTTATACATTCTTGGTCTTATTGTGCATGATTTAGTGCACATTAATCAAAAGTTTAAAAAAATTTCTTAATCTTACAGTGAATTCAGTAAGAACGCCATCTGTCATCCTTGCTTATGGGAACCACAGACATTTTTTAGCCAGTTTAGTTAGAATACATAGCTACTTTTAGATCCACACTAAGCAGACAAATTTTAACCTCTTGAAACTGACAGAAAACTGTGGCATAAAACTCCTACTTTTCATAATCCAATCCAATTTCCAATGGGAAAAAAAATTAAATCAATCAAGCTATAGTAGCAAAATATACAGTGTAAAATTTTATGGACAAGTTTATGGACTTACTACAGTATGTTTTACACACACAAAAAAAACTATTTCAGTCTTTCCACTTCTAAATTTCACATTTTATTCAATGTATTTCTTGCTGTTTCTTTGTAATTATCTGTGAAATTTACTAGCAATTTCTGAGTGAAAATATTAAATGTTTCAAACTAAATCCTACACCTTTTTTCCAGTGTACATGGTTGTGAATGTCATTTCATGTTGACCTTAACAGATAATGTAGGTAAAGTGGCAAAACGGATGCATTCATCAAGGACAAAACCATGTTCTGCAGCTGCATAAGGCTAAGCAAATCTAAAGCTGACCTCAAACAGACCAGGTTATTTATTGTCTTAAATATTCAGACTCTTTCTTGTGCTGTCAGCCGTCTGCTCGTATTAAGGCTTTAACGATAGATGTGCTTTCTACTCAGGCATCTGTGTTTGTGATGCAGCGGGGGACTTTTTTTCAAAGAGACAACATCTGATAACATCTGCAGGGCCAGAGGCTCCCTCTCTCATGATTGAGAAGGGGGAGAGACAGCAAGAAAGAAAAAAGGAAAGAGACACAGGATGCAACACTGCGTGGTGAGAAACACAAGTGCACTAAAAGGACAAGCGAAGAGTTCATAACTAAAGCTCTAGATAATAAGTGAGTTAGTTATTTTTTTAAAGGTTAAAAACGTTCATCTCTAATTCACCAGAATAATTAAGTCAAAGCTTTCAATGTACCTTTTAGCCAAAAGTATGCTTCATTAAATCACTAGTCATAAAAAGGCATTTAAAACAAATTTAATTATCATTTGTAAAGTCAAGGACTGATATAATTGACTCTTGCAGTCTCTCTTCCATCAGATTTATTCAGATTTAAACTCAATGGGAAAATTGACGCACAGGCTTTTAAAGTAAAAATACATTTTATATACAACTGGCAAGTGTGTACGTGAAAACATCAAGACTTCGTTAATTGTATCACATATTTCATTGCATTTAGATTGAGCTGAATCTGAAGATCTGAATCTGTTCTTCTTAAGTACATGCTGGCAAGTACTGCATGATATCTGATCAGATAACAAATTACAGAGTAATATAATTGACCCCAGCACATCTCTGGTGATCCTGGTGAATCCTAGCAAATGGAAATTTTTGTTGTTGCTGCATGGGTGCACAGAAGCTCAAGGCTGGCTTTGTTCAGCAGTTCAGCCTGAGCTCCTCAGATGGCTCTGTTTGTACAGTGGTGTCTTCACTCATGTTCCTACGTCGAAGCCCCTTTTAAAGCCTCATCCAGTCGCCATGCACTGAAAATAAACATTTAAGCCAGCGAGTGCAGTTTGCACACTGGGGTTAAAAAGGTCAGCCATATTGCTCTGCTTCATGGGCTCAGAAAGGGTTTCATTTAGTCATGCAACATAACCTACAACTGCAAGAAAGTTCTCGATCAGAACATTATGAACAATTATTATGAACATTATGGAACCATGTCTTAAGTTTGATCAGAAAATAAAATGCTAATTACATTCAAATGGAAAATTACGTAGTGTATAGTGCATTAAGATGTCTTGAGTAGATTTAATATGGCTTTAAATCTACCAAAAAAATATTTTATAGTATGGAATGATAGATCATAAATTAATGAGACAAGACTGTTACTGAAACACTATTTTATGTGTTTAAAGAACTTCATTCATCTGCAAAATGAGCAACATTTATAAAAACACTAAATACATGACACATTCTTACAATAACAAAATACAGTTAAATGGACAAATTCACTCAAAAATAATATAAATCTGTCATCATTTACACATCCTTATGTTATTCTGAATCTGTATCGCTTTCTATCTACCAATGGTAAAAAGCGTATTTTTTAACTGTTTGGATCACTCATCCTATTTTTGATGTCAGTGTGACATGGCCATAATCATAGATGTCAAAACTTATGTAATATATGTTGGTGTCATTTTTAAATGTATGCAAATTTAAAGAAACTTAAGGCTTTTCATATAATGAATTAAATTTCAGCTGTTTTCTCACACATAGCTATCTTATATGTGACCCTGGACCACAAAACCAGTAATAAGGGTCAATTTTTCGAAATCTGAATAAATAAGCTTTCCATTGATGTATGGTTTGTTATGATAGGACAATATTTGGCCCGAGATACAACTATTTGAAAATCTGGAATCTGAGGGTGCAAAAAAATCTAAATACTGAAAAAAAAAATCACCTTTAAAGTTGTCCAAATGAAGTTCTTAGCGATGCATATTACTAATCAAAAATTAAGTTTTTTGGCATAAAATAATTTTGACACATACAATGTATTTTTGGCTATTGCTACAAATATACCCCAGCGACTTAAGACTGGTTTTGTGCTCCAGGTTCACATATGGCTTTAAAACACCAGTTTTGCGATACCTTTATGTGGTTTTTTTTTTTTTTGGTCATTGTGGCGCTTGATAGCATGCATCACTATTTACTTTCATAATATGGAAAAGTGTGTTCCACCTGTGTTTCACAAAAGAAGGTTGGACCAACACAAAGGTGTATAAATGATGACGGAGTATTCATATTTCAATCTGTTCCTTAAAAGGATAGCCATTTATGGAAAATGACAAGATATGAAGCTCATTTGATGAGCCTATCTTTGTTTCATAAATACTGTAGTATGCTTTCTGGTCCCCGCAGAGGACAGGACTATAAATAAAACACATATGCAGATCAGTGCAAAACACACTCTTTTCTGGAATGGTTATGTCTTGATTGGAAGATGTCCATGATGCCCTGCAAACCTTACTTTTCTTATCAGCAAGACAAAGTTAGCATTATTCAGCTTTTGTTTAATGACCGTAAACTGTGATCTCTCGGGTTACTAACCAGAGGTCAGAAAAGACATCGTTCAGATTAACAGTACCTGTGGTGCACATTAGCGTGAATAGATTATAGACTGTTCGTTATGAGGATAATATGTGGGAAACAAGTCAGTATTTTTTCTATTCTGTTGGTGATGCCAAAATTACACACTAATGCTGAGGTGACATTTACTGTTGTTTAAAAAATTCGTGAAATTTCATGGACGAAATCCACTCATGGCAATAGGATTAGATTTTGCTCGTATTCAGGTTGGTCTAACAAATTTGCAGCACTGACCAACAGAATGCTGCTTGGTTTAAAAGTGAATTCTGTGTGAGCTGTGCTTC